TGGAAGTAGGCTTGATTCAGCAGTATTCTGTTTCAGTTCCTCAGTTTCAGGAATAACCTGAACACCTGGCTGGAGCAGGTGCCAAGCAAAGACTGCACTGGAAGCCTCCCCATGCTGATCTCATAGCCAGTAATCAAACAAGGTGGTCTACACTCACAAAACAGACTCATTTACCTTTAATTTCATATTTTCCAGCCTCAAGAGCACATTAGGTTACCTTGTGTGGCAATAGGTTGGAATACTTGCACAGAAGCATGTATTCTGTAACGAGGTCTCTTTAGAAAAGTCAGCCATAATGAACACCAACTACAAAAGGTTTTTCTCCAGCCTTCAAACTATCTCTGTTTTTCCTATGTAAACACTTTTTTTTTTTTTTTAACAGCTTTAATAAAAAAATGAATACTTGTAGTATAGACAGTGTTTGTCCACTATGGAACAGAATGAAAAAAAATCTGCAATGGCTACTCAGACTTAGGTAGAAACTTAAGTCTGAGGGACTTGTCCCTCAGTTTCTCAGGTTTATCTTACATTTGTCTCCCTAAGCTTACACTGCTCAAGGAGTCATTCCCTGCCCAGCAGGACTGAGAACTTTTCTCTTAGTGAAGGAACCTACAGAAAAAAAGCCCTGAAGAAAGCAGAAAAGAAAGAAAGAAAAGGGACTATTACCTTGGTAAAATGATGACAGTGCATGGGAAGGATTGACATAAAAGAGCAGAAACGGTAGCTTTCTTAGAAGTCACGAGAAAAGCTATTTTCGCTGCCATTTGGAAAAGGGACTTGTGAGTTTAAAGAATACTGCAATAATCTAGTTATGTGATTTAAGATGAAATAGAAAGCTAAAGTATATGTTGTCACTTTTTCTTTAATGAAATGCTACACTTAAATGTCTTCATTTGAAAATAATCTGTATGTGGGTTTTTTTTTTAAAAATAGCATCAATCTGGTAGTCAGGAAAAAAGGTTCACAGTGTGCTTGTGGCAGAACGGATCCGGGGGATTGCTAACATCTTATTTGTGCCTACATGTCCAGCAACGCCGCTAGGCGTAAGAAGGCTGGTCCATAAGAACACTGGTGTAACGCACACTGTAAGTCTCTTTTGATTCCAGAGATCAATGAAAATTTGCTGGTGTGTGAGATACTTTGCAAAAAGAAAAAGTTGGGAATACAGTTGTGCATCTCACCTATTAAGAAAGCGTAGGCAGAATCCTGTTTCCACACCCAAAGAAGGACCCAAACAATCTGAGAGGGTCTATTTCACCATAAACCCTGCCCTCTTTCAGCTTTCAGACTTACTTCTGTACTGTTTCTCTGGCTCACACTGTCACTGGCCCTGCGCTGCCATCTTTATCTCCTCCAGCCCACTAGATCCAGCCTCACTTTGCTGCTTGTGCATTTTTATTTCTCTGTTGACGGCAGCAAGTGTCCAGCTCTGGTGGAAGCCCGTATTACTGAACAGAGCTCAATGGCTTTTTACATCTATCACAAATGTAATAACTTCACAAACAGCCACTGAAAGCTTTTTCACAAATAGCTGTATTTCTGCCTTAAGTTATTGTTCTGAGGCATCGCAATTTTACCCCCATTGAGCTGGTTCTAGAGAGAGGCTGTGTTTGTGCACAGGCAGATCACAAAACACGTGACTATATTACAGGCAAATTTACAAAGGCCACAAAACTAAATGACTGCTTCAAACCAGACTAATACAACTGGACACAACCTATCCAGGTGTTACTGTTAGCTGCTCTTGTTTCCAGAAGCCCTGAGAAAATAGCAAAGGAATAGGCACCAACTGCACACAAAGAGTGCAACAGATCTGTACTACAATACCATAAATTCAACATTTGGACAAAATTACAGCCAATGCCTGATATTTATGAAGCTGAGCAGTCATTGTAGGATGGGGAGCTTTAGGCCTCATTCACTTTGATTGGCACAATGTCAGAGCAAAGCAGAACTTCACTTGACTTGCCAATAGAATTTCCCACCATCCTCCTTTACATCTTTTGAAAGATCGGTTGGTTGAACAACTTTGAAGGAAAATTTTTAGAAGTACAGATGTGCCTTGCACCTGCAAATTTAAAGGACAGTTGGCAATGTACCCCTGGCACCTGTACATTAGCTGTGTGAATATGACAGAAATTCATACCGAAGAAAAGTTACTAGCAAAGGATTGCTAGCACCCCTGAAAAAAGGAAAGCAGAATACCAAAAACTGAGTCAGATCAATTGTTTCAGTGAAGGAGCAGTAACACAGACCAAGAGAAAATGAGTTAAGTCGAGCTTCCACTGTTACCGTATTTAAAATGCTGAAATACAAGGATTATGGCTGTAGAAGAAGGCATACAAGACTTTTATGAGCAGTAACTTCTCAGAGAAACTGAGATCTTAATTTGAGATAATTACTCTTTTTTGATTACTTTAAATTAAAACTCTTTCTGCGTAATACTATTTAGGTCACCTGAGTGTAATAAAACAGTCAAAGATTCACAGTCAAACTTCCAAAGGGATTTCCAGCTGTTCTCTGGAAGTAATGCATAGCAAAAGGATAGCTGAACGAAGTTTTGTACACGATGGCATTTTTTAATACATCTTGCATTTAAAACATTGTCTATATAAAACACAGGCATCTCAAATTAAACTTGCATGCTGTTTGACACGGGAAGAAACCCAGAAGTTTGTTATAATGTTTGGCCACTGAATTCCAAAACAGGTTATTGCTTTTATCCCAGACTAAATAGTCAAAAACACAGAGGGTGTTTGCTAATTCATTATTTTAATGTTTGTCCTTTGCTGATAGTTCCAGTACTGAGCTTTGCCAACTGCCTTCAGTTCCTTCAGCTGTGCTGGGAAGTGGTGATTCTCCTCCTGTCATGGGTTCCAGCTGAAGAACTCCTTGTAGCAGAATCAGGTCTTAGCCCCAGGCGGCCCTTGGCTTAGCTTTATTTTGGCAGAGATACTGAATATTTTCCAGAATTGGTATAGGTGTGGTTGGCAAATTCTCCTTATCCATTTGCTGAACAAAGCCAGCAAAAGCACAATCCCTGTGATTAGGATGTGAGATTACAGCAAGGATATATACTCTCCAAGACAGATGCACTCTGGTGATAAGATAAATCTTGTACATCTTTCATGGCCACATTTCCTTCCCAGCCCCTGTGATCTTTCTGAAGCTGTCACGCAGGTGGCATGCTGCCTCCAAGGAAGGGGAAGAAACTCTCTAAGCCTCAGATTCTAGGAATCACAGAATCATAGGGGTTGGAAGGGACCTCCAGAGATCATCGTCCAACCCCCTGCCAAAGCAGGTTCCCTATACCAGGTCTCACAAGATGCCTGTCGAGGAAATTTCTGTTACTTTTCTACAGGTGCTTCTAAGTGGCTGAAGCTGCTTTCAAGATGTGGATACATTTTCAGGAAGACAAGGAATGTCTCCTAAGTTTTCCTTAAGACTTTACATCCTGTCTTTGCCAAATCCCAACCTCAAGAATCTTTTCTGTGATAATGGCAACATCTTTTACTTTAGAAAAATAAAACATTGGTATGAAGATTTTTAAATACACCAACATATCATAGAATACTAATACGTCTGAGATTTGGGGAAAAAAAAAAGAAATTATTTCCTTCCTTCAAAAGCAACTTCTGTTGAAAATTAAGCCATATCAGGCAAGATAATTTTAGTGTGGAGCACTGTAAAACATGGCCAAGCTATGCTATACCTGCTGTATTTGTTTCTTCTTTATAGTCTTAGTATTCAAACATTCTCGAAAGAGCTGTCAAACTCATATTCATACTTGCCACCCAGCGTAACAAACTTTTTGCACAGAACTCTGCTGTGCTCCCACATCCATTCACTTTCTCCAGGCAGCACTGTGACTGATTTAAACAGCAGTGCTTATGCATTCAGAACAGAACTGCCCTCTTCAAGTCTTTCATGCAAAAGGCGAAGGGTGCCAGGTACGAACAGCACAGAACAACGTCAGAGGCAGGAAGGGGGAGGACAGCACTCAGTGCAGCCGCACGCCCCTCACCGCCCTGGTAGGACACACCGTTTATATTTAGCAGAAGCTGTGAAATCCCACTGCAACAGCAGCGCATGTAACAGAAACACAAGCTGGTAGCAAACACGGTAAGTTCAGGGGGCAGCGCTCATCTCCGCACTGCCAGACACTCTGCAGAGCGCATCTCCACAGGCAGAGGCCTTTGTCAAAGTAAGGAGCATTTAAAAATAAAACCAAACCCAAACGAGAAGACAAAAAAGATGTCTGTTTTTAACATTCTCCACAGATAGCGTCACCTGAAAGTTTAGATGGGACAAGGAGAGTCCTGCACGGAGCACAGAGATGAAGTAGGGTACAGGAAATGGCTCTGAAGAGACTCGGGGTGCGGAGGGCGTGATGGGACACCCAGCAGTGCTCACAGCCAGCCCCGTGCTCAGCGCTCGCTCGAATCACTCTTTCAAACGCCGACAGGATTTTATAATCAATAACAAAACCTCGCACCACGTCTCAGAGCCCAGGTGTCTGCCTCACCTTGGAACCGTTAAAGCTGAAACGCAGTACCTCACAGTGCCATAGTTACCCGGCATCGCAATTTCTGCCCGCGCAGCTGCTGACTGGAGCCCAGCCGGCGTCCTGCGGGCCGCGCTGAGGCGGGGGCAGGGAGGGCAGGTGGCCTCGGCACGGCGTCGCCTCAGCCTCAAACCCTTCCCTTAGCGAAGAAGTCGGAGCCCCGGGCCGCCTGGCCTCGGAGCAGCAGAGGGATAGGGAAGAGGTACGCGGAACCAGGAAGGAGCAACGAGAGCCTCGCAAAGGCGAGGAGCTGCCGGGAGAGGTTCCGGGTCGCGGCAGCGAGGCACGAAGCCTGAGGAGAACCGCGGCGCGCGACGGCGAGCGGCGGGAAACGCCTTGAGGGCACGAGCCGCGAGCTCCCGCCCAGCGCGGCGCGTGCCCGCGGGCGCCCCCTGGCGGCGGGGCGAGGAGCCCTCGGCCGGGCCCCGGGGACCGCTCAGCGCGGTGCGGCGCTGCCCGCCGTGCTCCGGCGCCGCGGCAGCTGTGGGCAGGGCGGGGCGGCGGCTCCGGCGGTGTGACCGGCGGCGCGTCGCGGAGCGGTGGAGGAGCTCTCGGCGCGGGGCAGGACGGAGCGCGCGGCCCGGCGGAACTCCTCGCTGCGCCAAGTGTAGAGCAGCGGGTTGAGGGCCGAGAGCGAGCAGAGCAGCAGCCAGCTGGCGGCCTGCAGCGCGGGCGGAGCGGGCCGAAGGAAGAAGCCGAGGAGACTGACCCAGACGAGGGGCTGCGTGCCCAGCAGGAAGACGCAGCAGAGCAGCAGGACGGAAACGCTGCTGAGGCGACGCTGGGCGCGGCGCGGCGGCGGCGGCGCGGCGGGGAAGGGCAGCTGGTGCAGCAGGTGGAAGTTGAGCACGCTGACCCGCTTGGCGCTGCCCCGCACCCGGCGCACGATTCCCAGATAGCAGTGCAGCAGCAGCGCCGTCTGGGCCAGCACGGCCAGCGCGAGGAACAGCGCGGGGTAGCGGGAGCTGCCGTCCGTCTGCCGCGGGGGCGGTGTTGGGGCGGGGCCCGGCGCCCAGAGCCCGGGCAGCAGCGGGAGCAGGAGCAGCGCCAGCGCCCAGGAGAGCCCGATCATGCAGCCCGTGCGCCTCCGCTGGTACAGGGCCTGGTAGACGTTGGGCAGCTTGGTGATGAGCACGTACCTGTTGAAGGCCACCAGCAGGTGCGAGGCCAGGGACACGGTGAGGCCGAGGCCCAGCAGCCCCTCGCGCAGCAGGCGGTACTCGGCCGAGCGGAGCGAGGAGGAGTTCGGGGGCAGCAGCCCCAGCACGGCCTCCTGGGGCATCCACAGGGCGCACACGCTCAGGTCGGCCGCGCAGCCGTTCACGATGAAGGCGTTGCTGGTGGTCTGCAGCTTCTTGAAGGAGAAAACCAAGTAGATGACCATCACGTTGGACAGAGTCCCTGAGATAGCCAGGACTGCATAGAGCAGCGAGAGGAAGATGCGGGTCCCTGAGGAGTCCTCCCAGAGCAGCAGCAGGGGCGAGCTCGCGCTCCAGGAAGAGGCGTTGGGCATCGCGCTGAGTGCAGCTCAGTTCTGACTTCTCGTAAATCCCATCCTCATCCAGGTCAGATCCTGCTGCGGCAGCCCCCCGCTGAACACGAGAGATGATGTGCGGGCGGGGAGCTCAAGGCAGATTTCAGTCATATGAGCTGCGAGTCCAGAAAATGCAGTTAGCAGTAACGACCCGGAGAAGAACGGTGTCCAAGGCAGATAGGTGGCAGGAAATCCCAGAGGCTGGAGCTAGTGAAGGTGGGTCCATAGGGTGCAGATGGCTGTAAGCAGACCAGAGCGTGGCTGAGGATTCTGTAGCTGTGAAAATGCCAAAAGCGGCAGCACCTTGCAATCAGTAGCAGAAACGGCAGCAACTGATACAAAGCTTTGCAGTTCCTCCTGTGACACAGTACGTACTCTGTATATCATTCCAGGAAGATTCAGCCCTTCCACTCTTCATGAATTATTCAGCAGATTTTCATCTTGTTAAATCAAGAAGAAAAAAAAAAAAAAGAAAAAACCCAAACCCAATCGCGCTCCAGAAATACTGGAACTACAGAGTCTGACTCTCTTCTCGTTGCTGTACCGGTTTCCTTGTTCTCACCCATTTACACGACTTTCATTTTTCAGCAAGCTTTCAAACTAGTGTCAGTCACTCCTGTCTGAAATAAAACACATTTACTGTAGCGACTTCTCTACTAGACACTGAAGCTGTTTTGTTCAGATCGTATTTTTGTTAAGCAAAAGCATACTGTCTTTCTGTAAACATTTTTAGAACTGCTCTTTTAAGAATATAGCTTCCAAATTAAATCTTTCAAACATTATAGATGCACAGATTCCTGGTATGACAGCACTTTATTTTGGGAAGCTGGTCCTCAAACTCCATGTCCTGCATTTCGTCATAGAGGGTTCAGCCTGTCTCATCTAGTGGGACATCCTGCATCACTAACCCCCTGGAGGTGAGTGTTGGTATGTCTAGGTGCACAGGTAAAGTGGAACCAGCATGGACTTTGAAACAGTAGCATACACCCAAATCAATTCCAAAAGCACCTTCCCGCAGAACTGAATGAAAGACTCTCACAGTCCAAAGGCTGGTTGGAAAGCAGGGCTTGGCTCTCACTTTCAGGATGGAGAATTAGTGCTGGGATTCTCGCAGGTACGCTTCGGCGCTTTGCTCAAACAGCAACAAAACACTAACTGTCCTTAACCTCAGCAAGGTTTAATAAGAAACTTGAGTAAAACAATTGAGATTTCTTCTTAAAAGCATTTCAGAACAGGAATAGCAATTAATTTTGCAGTGAGTTTAAGTGAGAAGCTGCTTTTCTAAGGCTTGAATAGTAATTACTTCAGCTGATAATATATTATCTGTATACTGACCAAGATATTGCAAGATATTTTTAGATACTGTTAAACTCAGAATGCTGATAAATGACAATACCAAAGCAGTACTTTAGGAGGTCATTATAGCATGGGTCAGTGGATTATTTTGTTGCAACGTAGCGTATCTTTTATTTAATGAAAGATTCCTGTTTGTAGTTGATAGGACTGTTGATCCAAATATGGATACGTTACAAACAACGTGTATCTGTTCTTTTTTAATTAACTAGATTGCTCATGTGCTTAAGGTTAAAGATGTGCCTGAGCAATGTACTTGATCAGGCCCCTGATTACCATATTTTTTGCCTGCTGCGCTTTATGTAGATCTAATCAAATGTCAAACCTTTTGAGGCCCTTCATTGTTTAGCTGTCAGTAGAGAACAGTTATTATAGAAACTGAAATCCTCCTCTTTCTGCAGTACTGTAATTGAAAAATATTCTTTAAATCTGTAACAAGAAATATCTCACTAACCAGAAAGCTTCACAAAGCATAAAGAAACAGTTCCATAAGGCGCTATCCACAGAATTGCAGGCTCAGTAAAGACCTCTAGGCTTATGTAATCCATCCTTACATGTTTATCAAATCTCCTTTTAAAGATCTCACGTACTTTTTCTCCCAGAATAAGAAGATACATTTATATATGAAACAATGGAATCAGTGAAGTCCAAAGATGAGTGAACAGACCATATAAAATAAAATTCAAGGTATTTCTTAAAAGCTGAAAGATTGTAAAGACTCCTAATACCAGTGGCTGTCCCCAGCTAATCTTGGTCTTGTTGATTGCTAGAGTACTGGCTATATTCTTTACACATTTTTTAAGAACACAAGATGTCCATTGGCTGTCTATCATATAATAAATCAATAGAATTAAGGAAAAAAATGGGGAAGGATTAAAGAAAAAAATGGGGAAGGATTGCTTTCAGTGTACTAGACGTGTTTAAACTGACTACTTTTTTGTACATCCTATATGCATCCAAATCAACATCCTTTAATTGCCTCATTGCAGTGACAAGAACCCTTTATTGTGTTATTGGAATAGACATTCACTAGAAGCTTCTAAAGCATGTGTTCTACTTCAGGCTTTGCTATTCCTTTTGAGTTGCTGTGCAACAGTCACACACTATCCACATCATCTATTGCAGGCTTACCTGACAGGAATATTAAGCACCATAGATAATTTATCATGCACCACAACAAATTTGCTGAAAATCATCAACAGAATTAAGCTAAGATAAAACCATTTGTGACAATTTTTTCACCAATGCAAGAAGAAAAAGCTAAATGAAAATGTGGTTGTTTGCATTCTCGTGTATAAAGACCCTACTATTAGAGAGGCTAAATCAAAGTATTGCGCACAGAAAAAAAAAGACAAGTTACACTACACTTGTAACAAGGATCCTTGTCCAGGAAAACAATGTTTCCTCAATTAAGATACATTTTAAAATATGGTAATTAGAAATGTCACAAATCCTTGATGCTTCTAAACAAATACAGGAATATTAACTAGAAAGATTAGTTGTAGAAGATATCCCTCATACTCATTTCTTTTCCAATGAAGGTTAATTAAGACAAGAAACAAGGAAGCTGGCTGATATATGCATTTTATTATCAATTAGCTGTATACAGGTACATATATCTACATTCCAAAATGAAACAATTTTTTTTTAAAGGAAATTTATAACAAAGCACATGACTTTTTTTCATAAGAGGTAGAATTACCTTACCATTAATCTATAATTCATATATAGCATGTTGTATATATATATATATATGCACACACATATGCTACTTTGTGTGTGTATATTTTACATATACACAATTGTGGAAAAGTACAGCATTGCATGTAAGTTTTATTCAGTGATTTGTAGAGCTGCTCTCAGTATTGCTTATTAACACTTTCAGTATAACTATGTAGCAATTTGGTGGCAACTTCAGTTGCAGGGCAAACGCAGATCATTCATGTCTTCAGAAACAAAGACTGACAAATCAACAAGTTCTATTTTCATGTTCCTGTAGATGTAGGAAAAACTCATGGCTAACAAATCTGTTTTGTGTTTGTCTTCTAGTTTTCACAGATGCTTTTTTTAATTATTTTTGCTGTGATCACATTTGTGGAATTCTGAAAAACTTCTACATGATCTCTAATACTTCGCTGTAAGATCATTTCATTCAAAGATTCATTCCTAATTGCACCAGCTAATGTATTAAACAATATCCTTACTGCTAACAAAACTGTTGTGTGACAGCAGTTTAAACTACCTATATATCTGACAATAGTTTTCAAATTCAAAGGTTCATAGAACATCCAGTCACTAAGTGACAATTCAGTGTACTTCCAAATATTCACTTTGGTGTGCTTTGCTACTGAAACTTGCAAAATGCAAGTGTGCAGCACAGCCAAATACAAACATTCTTACTTTGTCAGTATGCTTTGTCTGTCTTTATTTTTGCAGTTGACATTGCATAGCAAAATTTAACATTCTACTTTTAAAAGTTAAAACAATTCTTTAAAGTAAAATGAAAAGGTATTAATTAACTGAATAATCAGCTAAGTTACTTTCTTTTTGCAATGAAGATGAAGGTTGCAATGTAACTCATTTTTCTTTCATAGCATCTCCTCATGAAACATCAGCAGCTGAATGTGGAAAGCAGACTATGTATCCAAGTGCTTTCAATTGATAGCATAATAACTAGTCTCATTAGTTAGACTTCCACCAAGTTATCAGAAGACCAATCAGCGAAAGAGGTAATTACATTAGCCTTTAAGCAATAATGGACCCATAAAACAAGAAAAACCTCTTGTTCATTAAAAAAATAATATCTTTGATAAACATGTAAAAATTCTTTAAAATACACATTTTGGTAGCAAAGTGAACAACTAAATTAAAACATTCTAATTTTTACATAATTCTTATATATATTGCTTAATAAAATATTCTCTCAATACATTTTAAGACTGTACACAAGTTAATAAAGTCATAATGAAATTAATTAGAAATATATTCAAGTAGTTTCAACATTAAAAATTTAGATCTGTATACAACATGGAGGAATAATTTCCATAAAACAACTTCAGTGCATCTGCAGTAGTCATGAATAAGAAATTTCTGTCTGTTGAGAAGTTGTTCCTTGGTGTTATGGTTTTAATACAACTTTTATTGAAAACTCCTCAACGGAATGAGCAGCTTCTTTCCTTAAATTCTTCTTCATGAAGGATTTCCACGGTAAGAACTCAGCAGGTTTCACCAAAGCAGCAAAGCTTTAGTACTGAACATATTCAGACTGAAGGGACTGTGCAGAGAAGAAACACTGATTAAAACTCATTGAGGTAATACTTGTATTTAATATGTATTTTGCACTTCAAGATAGGGAAGAATGGAATGACAGTAAGGAGGAAAAAAAAAGAACAGTTGGAAGGAAATCTGAATTTCTGCATTCTGATTTAGGTAAAAAAAAAAATGCTAGGAACTCAAAAATTGGATACTAAAAATCCATCAATTTCTCTGTATCTACACTTCTCCAAATCAAATTATAGAGTTCCTTGGAAAGAATACTAAAAAAATCTATAATATTACACCTTAAGACAATACCTTAAAGACATATTGGGAAAATGTACAATTGCAGCTATGAGAATTGAGTTGCTTCCATCAATCCCAAATGGGAATGAAAGTGCTACTGTGGAAAGACCGCGGTGCTGGTCTATGTGTTGGTTCACACAGTGACATAGGAAAT